GCCAATACATAGTTATACAGCTCGAATTTCTCTCAGATCCAATTATCACAGAAAAAATATATTGGTGAAATGATTGTCGGAGAACAACAAGGCAGTATCTTCACTGATCACGTGTCACTGCATCGAATCAGTTCAACTTGCTCAACGGTCCACAAATGCCAAAATGCCGATGTTACCGGACGCATCTTCTTATCGCATGCGACTTGAAAATAAGTTGTTGACATGTTTCGCACGTGCGCACGTATGCAATACCCACTTATGCATGCTGCACCTTCAATACATAATTGTACATCTTTTTCAGTTCTGAGGTGGTTTATTATGCGCCTTGAGCAGTATGTCGCGCTTGAGGTCTTGTCAAATGCCACTAATGCACGCTCATTTTCATGCGGGTCAGTGCTAAATTACATGTTGGACAAGACATAGTGGTGCAGACAGGCATTCGCTCACCTTGATAAAGCGATATCTGACTTCTCAAATTCTGTGTTTTCCAAACTTTTCAGCAATACAACACATGTTGCGTCTGATTAAGCCTCGCCGCCTCAGCAATCTGCGACTTCGCCATTATGACGTGCGACAACTCATAGTCGGGGCGATGTGAGAGTGAATCTGCCGCCAAATTAAAATTGACCCGGCCTTACCTCAAAGGTATATTCAGAAAAGATAAATAAACATCTTGGCATTCTCGGTGTGCGATGATGTGACGACGTCGCTTGCGCAACGACAAAGGATACGTATATATCACTTATAACATTAAGCCACGCAGACGAACCCTGAATTTCTTCACGGTATTTTGTTGCAAATCATGAAGATGATAGAGATTCTCTGCAGCTTTGAGCTACCAAGACTCAGACACGGGAATGCGTTCATGTCAATTGTCATTTCCTTGAAGTTAAAAAGTTTGATTGTATCTGACGACGTGAAATGCTCGATTAATTTCCGGAAGACACAGGATCGAGTCGCGCATAAGGCTATCTTCTACAGCCATAACATTTGCCTCTTCCGCCGCATCTCAACATTATTTAACCAACTTTTAGCAAATTGGGAGGGGTCGTGCAACATCAACTAAGTTTGCATTGTACTTGTTCAAGTGTTGGTCAGGACAAGCCACTTCCTCAAGTTCTTTTGGTTAGTGGCACTGGTCGATCCAACACGGTCTATATTTTTGCTGGATATACTCACAAGTTCTGGCCAGAAAGATGGTGTTTGTTGGCATCAAAGACAGACTGTCTAAGCTGGCAAATAGTATTTTGCGGTGCATACACTTGCGCACCA